TTTTTTGTAACTTGAAAATATGAAGAGTGTTCGTTTTATATGCATTACCCCATATCTCCAGACAGTAAGTCATATATGGAAGCAACAGAGTACAATAAAGTGTGTATAATGATTTTTTGTTCAGGACATGCTTTGTTTTATAGAGAATATCGATGGTTTTTGACATTTTTGTTTTCACATGGTTCATATGAGACTTCCAACTCAGCTTATCATCAATTATCACTCCAAGAAATTTATTTTCGTACACTCTTTCAATTTCAATTCCATTAACCCTTATTTTAGATACATTTTTCATTTGTCTAGTGCCAAAAATAATGAATTTTGTTTTCTTTATATTTAATGATAACTTATTTACATCAAACCAGTTTTTTAATATATTTAACTCCTTTTCCGCTGTAGTCAGAAGCTGTTCTAAGTTTTTACCTGAGCAGTACAGAGTGGTGTCATCAGCAAACAATACACATTTTAACAGTTTGGAAACATTACATATGTCATTTATATATAATATAAATAATTTAGGGCCCAGCACAGAGCCCTGAGGAACACCACAAGTTACCTTCAACTGCTTAGATTTTACATGTTCAACCATGTTTCTGGTGGGTGGTTACGTTTGTACTTATCTTTGAGGGGTGGAGTCAGCAGACTGAAGCCACGCCCACCACCTGCACTGGAATCAAACACCATTGTTTTTAGGAGGTGAAATTGCTGACTGAAGTTTGCCATCAGAGCTCTTCTGTGCATCTTTTAACACTTTGGGAGGCGAGCAGCTTTTCCTTTTTTCCTCAAACAGTTACTGCAATGTGAAAGTTGGTCCTACAGTTTAAAAACCAATGAAAGATGGTTCTGTTTATAAAGCTGTCACTGGGTAGCTATGCTGGATAGAAAACTAGATTTTTTTTTATTGGAGGAAAATACACACATCCTTGTTTGAACCTACAGCGGTTCAATGAACTCGGGGCTGTTGTCATTAAATTGTTAGGATCTGAATGTGACAGATTTAAAGGGAAAACGGCAAGAACACAGAGGACGAGCGGAGGCGCTTCCAGCTGCTGAGCACCAATAACCAGGCACAGTGAGTTTGATGAGTTTGACTCTGCAGGCTGTCTGAAGGTCACACTGAGCCCACGTCACGTAAACTGTACATACAGAAATACAGTTTAAATGGAGCACAGTAAACCTGCAGCAGCTCGACAGGAAACAGCTCAACTTTTAGCGACGTGTGTATAAAATGAACTTCACACACAGTTCGATGTCACGTTTATTTCTGACTTTGCTTTTGTGACAGTTCAGTCTGGTCAGCTCCAGTCTCAGCTGTCTCAAGCTTCCCTCCTCTCGTCTCCCGTCTCGCTAAAAAAGGGGGAAAGACTGTCATCAGGCCAAACGCCACCAGC